AAAACCCGCCAAAATCGGCGCAAGAATCATATATAAACCCCAGAAAATTGGGTAAAACAGTCAGTCAAGTTTAGAAGGTCAAACTGCTGAAGTTGTGTTTAAAAATTTCGGAATTTGGGACTTAGAAAATTCTATCCTATCAGGGCGATTTCGAAACATCGCGAAATCAAAAGGCGTCGGTACTTTGCTTTTACCTTCGGTCCTTCAACCCTCTTTTTTGTTAAGAATGGGACTCGTTTTCTTAAATTTATCTCCTCAACGTCGTGCGGAAATACCGTGTCAAAATTGGGATTTGACCCAGTCACGAAATTCTAATTGTAAAGGAAATCAAGTCCACTTCTGGACTACTTGAAATCCTACGACTCCAAATATTGTTCATTGTTGCAAATCTTGTACATCTGAGTGTGTATACCTTGTATTTTGTGCAAACCGTGTGTATAATTTAACAAGAAGTGTGTGTGTGTGTGTATCAAAGAAAGGTCTGCGCTAGTAGGGAGAAATCCCGGTCGGTTCGCGCCCGGCCAATTGCCGTGTTCTGATTTATTTGTTCTCTATCTCGAAAACTCTAAATCCTGAAAACTCTGCTAAAAGCCGCAATCAAGGTGTAAGGCTTGATTCATCTAATTCTTACTGGTAAAACCTTACATTTGGAGCATTGAATACTGTACCTCTGTACAGTACATGGAAATGTTGGCAATAACTGTAAAAATGACATTCAAGTCTCAAATAGAGAAGAAAGCCCCTCTATGCTGAAGGAAATTTTTTTAATTAGCTGAATGGACGGGGAAAATATCAAAGAACTTTTCTTGTGTAGATCTCAGGGCTTGAAAAATCTGATTCTTACAATTCAGCCTGATGAAAATAATGTTTCCTACTTATTATTGGTGCTCATTGTATAAATGTTTTCTGGGAAATTTGGAATATACCCACACTTTGTGACATTGTCCAAATGCTGGGGTATCCACTTTTTATGCCCAATTTTGTCACATTTTTATGCAACTGCTGCTGATTCTCAACCTTAGTTTTGCTAAAACATCCATAAAGTACTGCATATGTGGTACCTCATGCAACTTCCTGTTTTTAACTTACTTTGGTATGCAACTGTATACCAACTACAGCGCAAAAGCAAGCACAGGGAGTACATTATTGATCAAGAGATTCAAGACTGAATTTTGTTCTCTTCTAGCATAAGCCCAAATGTGAAATCCATAGTGTACTGCAATGGTGTGGCCAATGGAGGGGAGGATGAATGGAACCATGCCTGGAGGCACTACACCAAAACCAACTTGGCTAGTGAGGAGACCGAAATGTTGTATGCCATGGCTTGTACTAAGGAAGTTTGGCTTCTCAGCAAGTTAGTACTGTAATCATTATTCCTAACTTAAACCGCCAGATTTACAAATTGAGAACACAGATCATCATACAATTTCCAGTGGAAAAGACCTCCTATATGAAGGATTTGTGAAGCTCATTAATGTTATTAATTATTCTTCATGTGAATCTGAGTTGGAGATCTTGAAACATCTGAACTGATTTTATTGCTCTGGATATATACAACTACAAATCACACCACCCTTTATTATTGCCAATTATATTTCATGAATGAATGAATGAACAGAACACTTTATTTGCCGCTTTTCAGTGTTCACGAGGTTCACTCAAGATTTCATGAAAATGGAATATTAATCTTAGATAAAGCGGCATCATCACATGGCACAATGATGGTTGTGAATATGTGGTACAGTATTACCAACACATCATTCAAAATTATCTAGACAGGAAGAATTTATTCAGTTAAAAATTTTATTCTAAAACCAAATTTATGTTATCTTTTCATCCTTGACAAAAGGTGTTTACACAATAGAAATTTTCAGATATGGCATGAAAAGGGATCAGATGAATCTTGTACAATTAAAGGCACAACAATGCATAGTTTTGGATTGATTTGGATCCTTCATTAATTACAATAATGCACCCTAGCAGTTCCAGGAAATTGTACAGCAGTTATTCATGCTTCCAACCTTTGTTTATTTGCTCAATTTCCTTCTGATTCCTGGAATTAGAGATGACTGGAAATTATCATACAAAAATTTGACTGTGACCCTTTCCTCCAATTACCTAGCAAAGACCAAAAATAAGGTGACCAGAAAACAGTAACATATCAAAGGTTGCTTGTGAGTATATAAAAGGTGAAACATATTTTATCCATCAGAAACTTTGCAGCATTCTGCATGTATTTGATGTGAGCAATAAGCCGAAAATTGCAATATTCAGCAGGTGCAAAAGAAGGCTCCTGAACTGTTTGAATAATTCACTTAGGTTCAGATTTCTGAGCACAAGTGATGATGTTTAAGATTTCTTACACATTCCCAGTTTATCTCTGGGTAAAGAAAATAAATTATCTTCATTCTAATTGTAAAAAACAATCGGAAAATCGAAAAGAAGAAAATATTTTCAAAACTTGAAAAATTGAATTTTGCGCAACTTTAATTTTCAAAATCAGGATACTTTCTGCAGACTACAATTCTCTGGTAAATCCGCCCAACTCACACGGCTTCGAGTAAGAAATACTTTTTTTTTAATATCATAGACTATAGAAATGACGTAAAATCTGTTTTTTTTTTAAAGAAACCCACCCTCAGTTTTCTGAATGCTTTAAAATCTTTCAATTATTTAAAGGTATCTGGGGATGACATTCAACAAGAATTCGACGGTGAGATCCCAAGACGCCGCCACAGTATTTCGAAGCATTGCCCGATCAGTCATTGGAAGGTCCCTGGCTTTCGAATATTTGCTCAACAACTTTTTCTACCTTAAGGAAAAGTAAGTCTTGGTAATCCAACTCGGTGTGCATGTACAGAATTACAAGAAAAAATATTCATCTGCCTCTTAATTGTACCCTCCAGTGTCAGCCTCGGAATTTCAGACATAAGCAGCTTCATTACCCCATTTGCCACCTTCAACACGCCAGCTGAAGCGGCCAGAGTGAGTGTCAGCATACTAGAAAAAACTTACTGTGCAATTAATCCTGAAACAGTTTGAAACATAATAAATTCATAAAAACTATCAATGAAGGATGTTGCAATTTTTGTAGGACAGTTGCAGTTAATATTATCTAATGAAAAATAAAAGCTAGCTTCTCTCCTAATACTGTATAACACTTCAAAAAAATTTCACCTGATGAAATAAATTATTTTAATTTTTCATTTGAAGAAATGGCTGTTCAAGCCCATCTTACTCATTTTCGAAGACATCCCACAAAACCTGCTTCATTGGTTCTTGACAAAATGTTTTTTTGCAAACAAAGCAGATACATTTTCACTGTCTTCCAGAATAAACTTTTTTGAGTGTGCAAAAATTGTTACAAAACTTTGCCAGTCAACAGACAATTTTTTGAAAACTTGCCAGCAAGAAATGATATGGAGATTTGCTGGTCCACAAGCCCCAAAAAGTTGGAAAACACTTGTCTATCCTGTGTATATTAAATTCAAAATGATGGATAGAAAATTTATCTTTTATAAACATGATACAAGTGATAGTAGCCTATCTTTTTAACTAAAAAAAAATGGAGACATTTCAAGAACAAGACCTGGAAACAATATTTTGCAGGGCGACCCAGAAAATGTTGGACCAATTTCAAAATGTGTGATTTTGGGATACTTGGGTATATTTCCTAAATCTTTGACTTTTGTTTGAGTCCCTTCAGATTTGACTTGAACAGATTCAGCTATCATTCATCTGCACTAAAATTATTCTTACAACTCATGAATTATTGTTTTTTTTACTCTTGATTTTGCCTTGCTGTAAATTTAAATTGCTAAAGAACTTGAATTATCAGAGAAAATCACTTTGAATACATATACTTCTGTGGGTATAGAATATCTATGAGTAATGATCAGTTTCGATAAATTGGCTAGAAAAATACGTTTGAATTTTAAAAAATTAATTGCTTAACCTGCCGAACTTTTATTTATTTGGGAATTGGGCTTCATTTTGGAATGGAGAAAAATTCCTCATAGAAATTAAAAATTCTTATTTCTGTATTATTGTTTCTTTACTCTTGATTTTACTTTGTTGTGAATTGAAATCGTTTCCACTTGTTTGAAAACAGATGGGTTCAACTATATTAGTATAACTCTCATCATCGTACAGTATTAGTATATCTTCACTCAATTTTGCTCTGCTCGGAATTCTCCAATTTTTTTTAAATAGATACGTTCAATCGCATTATTATCATTGCAATTATTACTTTCAGCAACCTCCTCTTTATCTACACTGTTGTGAATTCGCTTCAGCATGTGAAACTTCGTTCATAAAACGGACAGATTCAACTCTATTGATATTATTACTGCATATAATTATTTCTTTGCTCTTTATTTTGCTCTGTTGTTAATTCTCAAGCCTCCCAATTTTCAATTTCATTTTGCAATGCAGATGCGGGCATTCAAAGAGGAACACAAAAATGACCTGGGGNTACGTGGCTGACCATATATGACTTGATGAATGGTAAGAACACATTTCTAGCCCTTGTGTACCTTATTTACTGGCATACCATGTGAACTCAGCAGAAGACCCTCACCTGGATGTTGCACCCTAAAATCTTTATAAAATTCTAGCCCATGTCAGATGCGCACCCCATTTTCAGGTAATCTAAAACCAATTTATTTTAAATAACACACTGAGCTTTGTATATGAAAAATGAATCAAACTTGAATTCATTTAATTTTCAAATATTTTCCAAGCTACTGAAGATCGTATTGATTCTTTATAGCCTCCATTACATCCAGGAAACAGGGAGTAATATCTAACTTGAGGATAATTTTTAACTCAATAGGATCTAATAAATGTTATATACCACTTCAGCAAAGGCCACATGAGTGGAGAAATTTGTGCACACTGGGGATTTGTGTGTAATTCTACACAGTGAACCTGCTGTGCGCCTGAAGTGTACCAAAGTTCTTCTGTTGCACATGCATATCCCAATGTGCACCAATTGTGTGTTCACACCAGGATTACTCTGGGTCACATTTGTAAACAAATAAGTTACACCAAGGTTACAGTTGGTGCATTTGTGTGATGCTCCTGTTATTTCACATTTGTGCACCCAGTGTAACCCTGGAATGGTGGCAAACTTTCCTCTACAGGAGTGCACACTTGTACCCCCAGAATATCCCATATGCTCCAGTTGTGACCCTGGTGTGCACCTACTGTGGGGTCACAGCAAAAATAGCTCCCCACTTAGGCAGTTAAATAAGCTCAAATGACCCTATACAGTCATATGCAGTATACACAGGTGATGCACTCTTGTCTGTACAATAACATCTTCTACAATTATATTCTCTGTCAAAAAAAAAAAAAGGTTTTCAGTACCATAGAGTTCTAACCTTGCATTGTAGGGGTTCCATCTAAAATGAAATTCTCTGTAAAAAAAAAAAATGTTGGTCCCTTTAATTTTGTTGCATAGATGACCAGAGAGACCATCCATATATATGGTGTATACAGTACACACAAAAAGACACATTGAAAAATATTTATCCAGCAGTGTTCTACAGATGTATATAGCCATTCAATCAAGAATACTGCATTCGTATACATACTTGCTGTATACATACTAATGAAAAAATTATCCAAATTCAAGGGTTAGATAGAATAAAGATTTATGCACCACAATGATAATCCTTCACTTGGTCAGAAGCATACAGCAGCAGCATCAGCACAGAGCATTCACACTCTTCCTGTGCGCATCAGCAAGCAGAAGCTCCTTTGAACCTCAGAGGGTCTGAACAAAAGCATCGGGTTAAAACTTCCCAACGATCTTCATGCAGAGGTCGCTACTGTTGTTACTGTTTTGTAAAGTGAAGATTCGATTTGTGTAGACAAAGAACTCTCTCTTACTGAACGGTCTCTTCTTGCAGTTCTTGGGGTAACAAGATAAAATCCGCCGTGTAAAACGTATCATGACAAGCCCAATACGTGCGATGGGAAGGACGACGAGAAGGACCGTTACGACGAAAGTGTATCGTTAATGAAGTGAACTGCTGCATAGTGGAAGAATCGGATCGCGCTTTGAGCAATACAGTATACATATACGCTTCAGTGTTGCCCGAGTCGGAGTGAACCGAACCGCAAGGCCAGGGTTGCCGGCGAGGTGGAATGATGATGTGTGTGATGATGCGCGAGACGGTTTCTTTTGAGCATAATATTGACGCGGATGCGCGGAAAATCGCACAGTGAAGTGGAATTTCTTTGCACATGTCTATCGATGTTTACTACAGTATTTCTCTCCTTACAACATACACATGCAAGTATTGAATAATATACTGCTGCAGTTGATATACTGTACATGGCAGTTCATCTGGAGAGATTTTCCAAAAATTCGCAGATGGTGATGTAGACTGATAGCTGCACTTCATTCTGCTGAAACTTATAAATTTCTCACGGAATATCTCAAAATAAAATTCTTAAGAAATTACTTTCCATTCCAGATATATGCTTAAAATTACGATGATAAGCAAAAATTGGTCCCCAAACTCCCCACTCAACAGAGAACCTTCATGAAACTTCAAAAAGCCAAATTTCTTAAGGGAGAATTTACTAACACAAATTTTTTGACTTTATGGAGGTTGTTGAGATTTTCTGTACAAAGATTCTCAAGTTTTAGCAAGTTTAGAGTTTAAGCTTTTGATTTTTTTTTAAATGAAACATTGTAAAAAAGAAAATAAATATTGAATGATCACACTTTCTGAACACAAGACCGTGCATTTAAGAAAGTTGAGAGTTTAATATTTGCATGATTTCACTTCAGTACCTGAATTCAATGCTCCAAATGTCATGATAATAACTTGCTGAATTACAAAGGTTCTCGAGGTTAACAAAAGATTTGTTCTGTTAATGTCTGGAATACATTAAATATTTTCAATTTACAACTGAAGAAAAATAATGTTTTGCAAGGTAACAAGAAACACATCACCAACAGAAACCAGTCTTTGGATGATTTTTTAAAGAGAAAAGAAAAAAAATTATCAGAAATGAAAAGTGCTTTTGGAAAAATGCTAAATGGACTTAATTTTTCAATTGTAGCAAACTAAATAATCATTGAAAATTCTTGAAAAGTACAGAAAATGTAGGAAATATTGTTTTAAAAACAAAAAAATATTTTCATTTTTTTTCATCTAGAATGAACAATTTTTAACAGCTTGTGACATGGATGGAAAATGCAAGCCAAAACTGGAAAGTTTTCACTTATTTCCTTTTAGTAAATTTAAAAACTTCCAAAAAAATCTTTTTAAAATCCCAGAACCTTAAAATAGGATGGTCAAAATGATACCATTTTTTTCAAAGTGGTACCTAGTCTAGAAATACCCAAGGTCAATCAGAAATGGGACAACCCTTGTACAGTATTTACAGCATTCCCAAAAGCCTTGTCATGCAGTATTAAAAAAATACCTTTAAGCATTATAGAAAAATTTTTCTGGCAAAGAGGATGCAAACTTGGAAGTGTTCTTCCTGAAATGAAAAAACTTGCACCAATTTTTGTCCCTTTCAATTTGAACCATTGGGCCTCCAACTTATGTCAGGGTTTAAAATTTAGGGATATCAATTGTAATACAGGTATTTGCATCCAAATTAGAGACTCTATAGTCAACTACTAGCTGCAAACATTTGAAAATTAAAAACCTCCCAAAACTTGCAAAGCCGTTGTTTTTATAATTGGCAGAAAATGAATGAAATTTTAAATTTTCTGTGGTTCAACTCCAAGGCAAATACCCAGATGTTCTGATTTACTGCTGTGTCTGAAAAATGAAAAACCACCAACCAACCAATTTTTTTCAATTTAAATGTTCCCATCTGAAGAAACCAATGTTCAATTCATTCGCACTTTTCAATGCCAAAATTTATCAAGGTCAGCATTCGAAAAAAGCACCCAATACCAGATGCATGCGAATGTCTGCATTCATGGTACTTCTGTGCGTCATATGGCATAGTTTTACGTCAAAAGTGATTTCAACTAATGATCCCTTCGCCATATTTCCTTGTTTTGTTTTTTTCCGGCGAATGTCTGCGAGTGATTGACGAGGAAATGAGAAGAACAACGGAATTTATTCACGGCGACCTCGAACACATTCCTGCAAAACAAACCTAGACCATATGTTTTTTGTGCATCAGACGTCGAGATATTTTTGCATGGAATTCAGACAATTTTTTTAGCAGTTGAATAGAGATGGAATACTGCGAATGAGTTACTTTGCAGGCAAGATATTTCTTTGTTTTTTGGTCTTGTGAGTTTAAAATGCAAAAAAGGATATTTTGAATAAATTTTTAAAATATGTATATATTTTTTTTCAAGTGGCTATAGGTTTGTCACAGCTTAAAAAACTATACAGTAATTCATATTTCTACACAAATTTTAATTATTTGAAGGAAGTATTTCTTCAATCTTTAATATTCGTTATCCATCTTCTTTTCAGGCATGGTTGTGCTTCTTTCTCAACTCTAAAAACTTTTGTTTCAAAGATAGGCTTCATTTTCAAACGACCACTAGGATTAAAATTAGTGAATTTTAAATATGACTTCGCATATGAACCAATCACAGGAGTTTATGGGTAGCACTTTTTTGAAGTTCAGCACATAAAAACTTGCAATAATACAGTATAATGTTTTTTTTTAATCTTTCAAAAAAATTTTTGGATCACCTAAAACATGTTTCCATTAATAATATTAAACTCACAGACTTAATAAGTCTTCAAAGTCAGGATTATACTTCGAAAGTCTATATAGGATTTGATTTTGATAAAGATTCAAGTGACATCTATCTGAAATTCAAAAAGTGTGTCAAACGCATATACAGTGGCCCCCTGCCTAACATGTGAGAAAAAGATATGTCAAACAGACAAACTCACAAAGCTGAAAATATAATGTGGAATGGATGAAAAATTTAGGAGAAGAAGCAATTGAATTTGAAGGTAAGAATGAAAGTTCTTTTCGCGAGAGT